GGCTCATTCTCTCTGAATGTCCTGGTATTACCAGAGGTCAGATCACAAACATTCAGCTGGCATGCATGTAGGTCTGAGGAATCCAATCAGAGCCGTCTTTTCCTAGCTTCCCTCACGTCTCACATGCAGCACGCACTCACATAACATTCAAAATAGCTAAATTAAACCCATCAGGTAGCATAGGCCCATTACAGAGGCAGCGCTGAGTGTAAGGATCGTCTCACCGGTTTCTTAGTGCTTCAGAGGCGCTGCTCCTGTACTGGAGCGCCTGAGATCCATGCAGCATTCTAGCAATGTTTTTTATTCTCTCTCTTTCTCTATAGGCAACGCCACTTGCTCTAATCATGGCATGATAAGCCCAGTGGTCCTGCAGAGTCAGCAGACAGGCATGCAGGGACAAGACCGGACATGTACTACTGTTTTGCACTGTATCTCTTTTCTTAACCCCCTTCTTCCAAACATGCTAGTCTACAGTGTGCATCTGTGTCTCCAGGCCAAATGACATTTTAGCAATTGAAAATAACACTAAATGCAAAAGGTCCCCCAGCATAGCAACCTTTAGGTGTGAGAAAAAAAACACACTTTATGTATCTATTTCACCAGACAGGTACCCCACATATTTCCTGATTTCTGTGGTTTAAAGTAAATAATTCCAGGTTTTTATTTCAAAACTTTAGGGTTATTTATGTGTTTTCATGTCTGTAATGAAACAAGAGGGTCTTCTGATTTATTAGGGTTGACACGCAGGTTTTCAATGATCCACACTGAGCACATCTTTTTTTCAGAGCTGCATACACCAGTGTCTGGAATAACAATATACATACATAAAATACCAATACATAAACTTCAACCAAGGAAATATGTAAAGTTCTAAATCTACAAAACACACTTTCCAGAGTACTGTTTCTGTACAGGGGAGGCTGAGGGTCTATGTACATGTAGATTTTAATGGTTCAATGCTGTGATTCATAATTTTATCAGAGAAAAAGTGTCTGATTTTAACATTTTATTAATGGTCACTGTACAATAACTGACACCACAGAGCCATAGTGTGCTCTCCCTTGCTACACTACAATCCAGGGTGTTTATACCATAAGCCTCTGGTTCAGTTTATTCTACAGTGTCTTTAATAATATTTTGATGCAAACACTTTAGCATATTTGGAAAGCCATCCCTGGTAGGCTAGTGGTTAAGGTGCAGCGGTGAGTTATCAGTGTGACGATTCGCTGTGGCGACCCCTAAACGGGAAAAGCCGAAAGTGACTTTCTTTCTTTAGTATATTTGGAACATGTGATTTTATACATAGCAGTGTATTTTACTGTGGTACTTCTACTCTTATATAAGCAGATAATCTGTGAGTGGTTGATTCTCCTGTTTGGCTTCTTTGGTAACCATGTTTTAGTTTTCGTTTTGGTGTCTTTATTGTGTTTTCATTCTCATCAGTTCACTTACTAGGTGTATGTGTTTGTTGAGATGCATTTGATGTAACGAGAGAATCCTGCCTCAGCCTATATTCAGCTACAGCCCATATGTTCCCTGCAGTAAGAAATTATCTTAATCTGCCATAGTTTTTACAGAAACATTGTACAGATATCACCACCAGGGGCGCTTATGAATAAGTCAAATGAGCGATGAGGTGGGAGGAGTAAGAGAAGGGAAGAGTCTTCCTCTGCCTGCTGTTGTTAGGGGCTATGCATGTGCAGAAGAGAGAGTATTATGTAACTGGGTATTCATCCTTTACTGCCGGCGGTAATGTTTTAATGTGAAATTCTAAGGCGGTTATGTGAAATTGTTTGACATATGTAATTATACACCATAAAGGTTGACAGGCTTTGGTCTAGAGGAAAGCGAAGTGCGAAAATTGGGCGGGACTTAGAGCCGGATGCCTGATGTCATCAGGGTCATCAATCATGCTTTCATACCTCACTTTGACAAGAGCAGTATCCTGTGTTCTCCCTAACACCCAAATTTGCTTCATTTCATCTATAGCTGATTGCTACTGTAGCTCACTCACACTTCCCATGGAGCACTCATGCACACTCATGACACCCACAAACACAAATGATTGGCATTTTCAGAGAAGGAAAGGGAGAAATGATTTACATTCTAAAATGACAAATAATAGAGAATCTCCTTTTTTAAAAATCAAAGCTGACTTAAGCCTGAATTCGGATGCAAAAAACAAAACAAAGCAACAAAAACTGCGGGATGAGCAGTGCCTGCATTAGTGATAAGCAATCTGCGAGGATTACTTATGCGTAGATCACAAATGGTGCCAGTATCCCAGTTCATGGATGGCTGTCACTGGCAGATAAAGTTGTGAGTCCTGTAATATTGTTGCTAAGGAATGAGTTGTTTTGTTTTCTAAAAATATGTATCAGTTTTCCCCGTAACTGTGTCTACACTGAGATACATAACATATAAAACAAGCAAGTGTATAAACTGTTAATATGTGTGAAACACTAAAATGTAGTCATTATTTAATCTCGCAGAATGAAAGCAAGTCAACAAAGCAACACAGGCAGACAGAGCATCCATAGGAAAAACATTTTATTGAAAAACATTTTCAGTTTGTAACAGAGTGGTGGAATGTGTGTCATTTATCCTCACTTTGAAATTCTTTTAAGTTTTTGAATGTTAAAACCATGTTTCACAGGCTGTCCATCTCCTACTGCGGGGAAGGGGAAAGGAGGGCTACAGCCACCCAGTAACCATGACATGACTAAAGAAAACCAGGGGTAAATGAACAAACAATGCAAATATAATACTGTGTTACTTACAAACTGGACTGAAATTAAATCATAAACAAAACAAAAAAGAAACTAATTCAATAAATATTTATGGTACACACTTATGGCACAAATATGCAGCAGTCGGTTTGGCAACGTTTCGTTTTTGTAACCAAATTACCATGGAAACAGCGCAGAAGGGGAGGGAGTGGGGAGGATATGGGCGTTCCATCGAGCGCTAGCTAAAATACATAGCAAAAGATTCAAATTTTATACAAAACATCTTACTTTAAGAGTTTATAAAAATGTTTTATTGGGTTCTGGTCAATATTTACATAAGCTATTTACCAAAAAAGTAGTATGCTCTGTTTTACTGAAGTGTAGTCCATTTTTTCTGTAGTCTTTTTCCTATTTACTTTCCTAAAAAGGTGAATAAGGCTATTGTAACAACCCAGGATCCATATACAATACAAACATTAATGTATTTACAGTTTCTTACCTACAGAAGTATGGTGCAAAATTACTGAGTCAAGTGACCGAGGGCTGACCATATGAGCAAGGCATTTTACAGTAGCCTGAGGTGCTTCTCCTAGCCCGTGCGCTAAGACTCTCACAGCATCGCTACGACATTTCATAACAGGTTGAACCAATCCTGGTCAATGTTGGGAGAGCGTTAGTCAAGCGGCAGCTAAGAAAAGGGCGTCAGATTAAAAGAAAGTCATAAGATTGTCATATTCTGCCGCAGACAGACAGCAACTAAACAGCCACTTCTTTTTTGTGTAAGTTTGTCTTTATTCACCTTTTCTTAAATACCTGTTCAGCTGTGATATATATGCTTCTTAATGGTTTCATTTTCACAGTTTACCTTTGTACTACGGCATACAGTTCAAACAGAAAAGGTTCAAATAATACTACAGATAATGCAGGAAATAAAAACGAACAGCAGACTTGTGTGACTTACTTTGTTAGCTTTGTCATTTGTTTGTTGTTACATCTTTCAATGGTTAAGAACACTTTCCATAGGTGTTTTTTTTTTTCCTCAGAATTGATTAAAAAAATAAATAATAATTGCATATTTGCAGATTTTGTAGCCTCTTAGAGGCACAAACCTCAGATCATACAAGGCTTGGCTTTTCGGTGAAATTTGATGTTCTTCATGAACAAATGACAATGTTAATGATGGGCTGATATATGTATGGGCAGCAGCCTAAGTCACCATTATGATCCTAAGCCAAAGATAACGATGGAAGCGAAGTCTATGGACTTGCTCAACATGCGCACACATACACGTACACACATGCACAGAGAACATGAACGATGAACATGGGGGCACTGGGTGTTCATAGGAATAATCCTTTGGGAGATGCTACAGTGAGTGAGTGTGGGAGACACAGCTACTCTGCCCTTGTGCACACCAATGTGAGCTATTTTGAGTCACATAATTCTACTCCCATCGGGACCGAGGTCGGGGCCCAGGTCGGGGCCCAGGCCGCCCTCCCATGGTCCTCTGTCCGGGGACTGAGCCCTGTGCCTGAGAACTCATGAAAGTGTGGGACTTAGTGGGGTGAGAGATAACAAATAATCAGAAACCTAGGTCGCATAATGTGCACTTATACCATAATATATTAACATTACTTTTCCTTTGTCTTTTCCTTCTCAACATGGCCTGACAACTGTGCTCTATGCGTCTGTCATAAATAAATTCTGCTTTTTATTTATTTGTTTTTTTACCTTTTCCTCTTTGTAATGTCCTTTTGAAAAATGAACATCTATGTTGTAAAAAAAAATGAAGGAAATCAAAAACCAACGATATGGAAATGCTCGTGGAGAAATAGCGACAAAGTAGATGTCCCTGTGCTTTTTTTGAACGAGAACAGGAGAGCACCAGTCACGCTGATTTTGGGCCCTTAGGGCAACATCTTTGCCCCCCTAGGGGTAAACATGACAGTACCTAGAGATGTCTCAGCCAGCTATGCTAAGCTCAGCTAGATCTCGGGCCTCTTCTTCACCTGATGCGAAAAACGGCAGTAAGGCGAACTGGATTTCTTATAGCCCCTAACACTTTCCCGTGTGCAAAGCCCAGGTTCTGGAGAGGTTGAGGAGAGCGCTTGCTACTAAATCTGAAGGGATATAGCTGCTCTCCCATCTCCTGCTATCACTGCGTCGCTCTCTGCGGACTGCTGGTAAGAGCGGAGGAACTAGAAAGGGGTTAAAAGTGCTGCTCTGTGTAGTG